CCAGGAGCTCTCTGAAAGCCTCCATAAGAGTATGCACGGCCATTTTGGTGAAAGGAACAGTGCTTTGGGAGGCAAAAAATGCTGTATTCGGTGTACAAGACGCACTCAGATTTTCAGCCTTTTTTTTTGAGGAAAAAAGGTGAGTCTTATACTCCGAAAAATATGGCAATTTTTAAAAAATAAAACAGAGTACTAGCAGTCCTTAACTTACAACCAAAATTGAGCCTAATTTTTTTGTTGCTAGGCAAGACAGTTGGTTAAGTGAATTTTCTTACAGCTTTCGTATGACAGTTGTTAAATGAATCATTGCAGTTGTTAAGATAGTAACAGAGTTGTTAAGTGTTGGGGTCTGCTAATGGCCAGCAGAGCTGGCAGCAGATTCGGACAATGAGGAAGTTGGGGAGGAACATGAGCCAGTCCTGGAGTCTGGGGAAGGCTCTGATGAGGGCTCTGCATCGGAGGCAGTGAAGGGCCCAGGGTCGTCTGACAGTTATCAGCTGCCTTTGAAGCCTGTTCCTAGTGTGTGCATATGCAGAGTTGCCAGACAAAGAGAATAGATAAGGAACAAGGGTTGACTTGGGGTAAGGCCACAGGTGGATGGTGAATGCCCCTCCCAGAGAAAATAAAAGAGGAGGGAAAGGGGATAGAGTTTGTAGGAGACAGTTAGTTTGCTTAATTGGTTCGTGTCTCTCTGAGACTCCTTGCCAAGTTTTGAAGATATCGTCCTGGCAGCTCTCCAAGCCAGATAAAGTCTCTGACTGTAAATTTACCCTTGAAAGACTTTGCTGGATGTGAATGAGAGGAATAACTTAATAAAAAGAGGTTTTGCCAGGACAAGGAGTCTACTTCGTCATTTGGGGAAGCCTAGGTCAGAACATTACGTAAACCTGTCTTCCCTATTCACTTTGCTTGTCAGGTGATTTCAAAAGGTGATGTTGTGCACTGCATTCATCATAAATACATGCCAATTGTCAAGTATTTGAACTTGATCATATGATCATGGGAAATGCTGCAACTTTTGGTCATATGATCATGGGAAATGCTGCAATCAATTGTGTGGAAAATGGTTGTCCGTTACTTTTTTCCATGGCATTGTATTGTCACTAAATGATTGTTTGTAAGTCTAGATTTGTAACAAATGTTGCCTTAATATAATACCTCTGCAAAAGATATCCTAGAGGTGCAGAGAATATTTATTGAATTGTAAACTGCAATTTCAGAAAAGCATTTGATTTTATCTCTCCCCTCTTAAAAGCAGCATGTCTAATAATTGTTTTGTAAAACAGAATCTCAAGGCAAAAAAGGCAAACCAATGCTTACTGTATTGCACTTCTCAATCAGCAGCCGAATCTCTGGTTTTACTTTCTCAATGATGTCCACCAGTTGCTGGTTGCTCTTCAGCATACCATTAGGCATGACAAACACTTTGGTACCTAGTGCCATAGAAAGAGACTAGTTGTAGGTCCTGCCAGTTCTTGCCATCAAAGGCTGAAGGAGGGGTGGTAGTGGACAAATGGGCAATATGATTGTGTGTACGTGATGGGAAATAGGGAGGGGGGAATGACAGGTGATGAAGACGAGAATCAGGTTTGTACCAGAGACACCACCAAGGCCATGCACCCTGGAAAAGAAATGTGAATTGCCTACATCTCAATGTTCTCATAACTTGGTGAGTTCTGATTGGTGAAGCATGGATTGGTTGCAGAAAACCTTTTCTGTATCTTTTTCATGTGGAAAACCTTAGAATTAGCCTGACTTTACTGCAACCAATTTCCTTAATAACAAAAAACGTTTGCTTCAACCTAATGGAGTCAAGGGTCTTTCTTTAGGGCAAGTCTGACACTAGTTACTTATTCCAGGGAAGCAAGCCACCCCAATTTCTCATAGAAATTCAAATCTTTTTTCCCCATTCCACTTGTAATCCAATTTTTAAACTCCGTAGTACAAGTGTTGATCTCTGGTTGAGGTTATGGTAATAAGTAATCACCTTCCATTCTTTAGATTACATCCAATTCTAGGATCCTACTCTGTTCAAATTATACAGACACTGCTTTATACAGAGATAGAAAAATGGCATTTCAGAGAATCATTTCAAATTCCAAAAAGCTTATCAAATATTAAGCAGCCAGCTTAACATGCATTTTGTTCATAGTACGTCCGGATGCAAAATAAATATACATAACATTCATGGATTTTTTTGTTACCATATCAATGTTCTAGGATTCTGAACAGTTTTACCTACTTTGTGATCTCAGTGATTTCATCAATTAGGACAAATTTCCAAAAACCAAATTGGTAGCCAATAATTAACTAACACAAAATCTACCTTGGAAGGTCTCTTCACAGTCTTCTAATTTTCGCTTTTTCATATTGGACTAAAAAAAGAAGAGAGGAAATATTATATACATAGTCTTCCTTAAGATTAGCCTCTGGAAACAGATGCTACAAAGCAGATAATTGCTTCAAATGCCAAAAAGCTTTGTTCTCTCTCCAGCTTATCAGCAAGTATAATTAATATAATTATGTTGTTTTAATCAATCATTAAATGTTACGAACAGATGACCAACCTTACCCCATCCAGTCCATCGTGACTGTTTGTCAGCAGAATTGGGTCTGGAACGGGAAGGTTCATGTCTGAGTGGATTTGTGTGAGATCATGAATGTTCAGAATGGGATCCTAGGGCAGAATATCCAAAAGAGTGAGGTATTTATGCTCAGGAACAGTATCCAATGTGGTATTAAAAGCTAATAACTAGCAGACTGTTATTTGATAATGTATCATTCTTGAAATAAAGTATCATTCTCAAAATAAAGGAAATAAAGCTCTTACCTTAAGGAACCCATCAAGTTCTAAAAGCTTCTTTGGGAAAAAATTTGCCACTAGATCCTCAGCCTGAAAGAGAAAGACCACTAACTATGATGCATGAATTTTATTAATGCAACTGCTGATTCCATAAAAGGAAGGCTAAGACCAAGCCTTGGTATGGATCAGGAGAAAACACCAAATAGATAAATGCTTGGAAAGCTGAGCTACTTCTAAAGATACATAACAAAAGTCCTACAATTTTCTGTCAGTAAGGACTAAACTATAGGGAAAGCCTCTTTTATGACAATCAAAAGCAAATGTAACAATCTGAAGCCATATTCATTTTCCAGTATTTGAAGGGCTGCTGCAAAGAAAAGATCAAATTATTCTCCAAAGCTCTGCTCTAGTCAAGTCTATTCTTTGAAATTGCAAGCAGAAATCAGACACTTACTTCACTTGTGATTCTCTCCCTGAAAGAGTCTACCTGCAAAAGAGAAAAGGTGCAGTTTAGTACAGCATATCTGAATTAAGTGCAACATCATCACCCCAAGCACTTTATCTTTGCTCACCTGAATAAATTACAATTCTCCTCACAAATACAAACTTCTACTTGCAAGTGATATTTTTGAATCATTGTTGCAGAATATAAGGCATATATAATAAATCAATTAGATACTACAAAACCAGGAGATACTTTAGAAGAGTATTAGATTAAAATATTTTTTAATGATTTTCTATGTATTAGGGCCCAGTATAACCCTCTTCTCAAAATTTCACTGTTTTGGAACCATACACATGTAAGTCCTCAACTTACAACTAGAACTGAGACCTGAATTTCTGTTGCTAAGCAAGGCAGTTGTTAAATGAAGCATAGCTGATTTTACTTTTTGCCATCATTAAGTGAATCACTGCAATTGTTAAGATAGTAACACGTTGTTAGACGAAACTGGCTTTCCAATTTAACTACTTATTAAGCAAATCACTGCAGTCATTAAATGAATCATATAGTCATTAAGCAAATCCAGCTTGCCTCGTTGATTTTGCTTACCAGAAGCTTACTGGGACAATCATAAATGACAAAAAGTGATTCTAAAATGCTGTAACCGTGGTAAATATGAGCCAGTTTGCCAAGCAATCATGTGACTATTGCAACAATCATGTGAGCACTGGTCCTAAATGACTTTTTTTCAGTCATTTAATGGGTGTAAATTGAGGATTAAAGGTATCACTTTTGCTTCCTACCTAGTTTGATTTTGTATCATTGCTGTTGTTTGCTTTCATCTATTTTTATAAAAAAATAATTGCAGTGCATATACTGCAATTATATACACATACATATATACATTTTTATGACAAGCGGTGAGGTAGCCTAGAGGTTAAGATGCTTGCCTCTCATTTGGAAGGTTGAGAATTTAATCCTAGACAATGACAGACAGTACTATCAGGGCACAAAGAGAAAATATATGCTGTGAACTCCATGTAGGCATCAGGAAGACCACCTAACCAATAAATTACTCAGCTCCATTCAGTCATCCCAACAACTCTGAATTAAGGGATTGCAAAATTGTAAAAGGGAAAAAAATCAAATTTTTATGCTGCCCATCTTCCCTCCAAGATGGATTTTAAAATCAGTCTGTATAAAATAGTACTTATATATTCACAAATCTGTAGTTTGAGAGATATTGGTTACCAAAATTATTGTTTCAGGAAGAGAACAATTTTTTTACTTCTTTTTATTTGTTCATATTATTGCTTAAGCTAATATGAATTTTCTCCAATATTTCAAAAATTCATTAGTTTCTACCTAAACCACTGTTCAAATTATCATTCTTCCATATTGAAAATATTTTTACTGATTTTTATCTTCTTGCACCTTGACATGCTTATTATTCCCAACTTTTCTGCTTAATTTTCAATTAGGTTGATCACTTATTCCTTTTCCCCCCAAATATGATCTGCTTGTTTTGCATTAAATTTTAACGACTTTTCAGCCAAAATCCTAGAAAGACTAACCTAAGTAATATCATATTGAACTGAGTGGTTTTACTTTTTTACTGACATGTACAGAACTGAAACATACTCTACTATCATGCCTTGGTTTATCTTCATTTGATCTGAGTTCTTTTTAACTTTTCCCAATTCAAAATTTTTCATTGAAGTTGCAATATATTATTTTATCACATATTGTGTCTTATCCCTCAAAATTTCTGTCAACAGATGTCACCAAGGTCTCCTACTTTTACAAGTATTAGAACTTTCCTTATTAATACTATATTTGATTTTTCTTAATCTCTTCCTAAATTAATTATATTTTGTTAGTGTTAACTTCTTTTAGTTTCTGCTAACTAAAAGTAAATTCCCATCTTTCCCCTTTTAAGAACAGCAGTAAGAACAAGTAGAATTTCAAATGAAGATGGTGTCAATAAATTTTATTTACCATTATCCTATTGTTCTATAGTGCATTCAGAAAGTATTCAGACCACCTTCACTTTTGTTAATTTTGCTATGCTGCAGCCTGATTTTATAGTTGAAACTTTCTTTTTCTCATTAATCTACACTCAGAAGGCCATCATGACAAAGTGAAAACAGCTTTAGAAATATTTGTAAATTTATTAAAAATAAAAACCTGAACTATCACATTAACATAAGTATTCAGACACTTTGCAATATGTGAAATTTAGTTCAGGTGCCTTCAATTTCTTTTGATAATTGTTGACATGTTTCTACACCTTGATTGGAGTCCACCTGTGGTAAATTAAATTGGTTGGATGTGATTTGGAAAGGCATACACTTCTTTATAGAAGGCCACAGCTGACAATGCATACTGCAGCAGAGCCAAAGCCATGAGGTCAAATGAATTGCCTGTAGAGCTGAGACAGGATTATTTCTGCTGCATTGAAGGTTCCTAAGAGCACAATGGCCTCCATAGTTCTCAACTGAAAGAAGTTTGGCACAACCAGGACTCTTCCAGGAGCTGGTTACCAGATCAAACTGAGCAATCAGAGAAGAAAGCTTTAGTAAGAGAGGTGACCAAGAGTTCAATGGTCACTCTGACTGAGCTCCAAAGATTCTATGGGAGATGGGACAGAGATCCAGAAGGATAACTACCATTGCAGCCCTCCACCAATCTGGGCTTTATGGCAGAGTGGCTGGACGGAAGCCTCGCCTTGGTGCCAAACATATAAAAGGCAGCTTGGAGTTTGCAAAAAAACACCTGAAGGACTCTGAGATTGTGAAGAACAAGATTTTCTGGTCTTGTAGTCAGAATTCTTTAAATCGTAGGGTCCCATAAAAAATTGAAAAATATATATAGAGATATAGATGATGCAATAGAATTTGCTGTACTATTTATATTTTAAAAAATGGAATTGCATTTTACAAAGCCAAAACTAATTTTAATTTTATTGGTGAATAGAAATAAACAATGTTATTCAAAATGCATTAACATTTCATTTTATTAATGTGATGAGGTATCATATTAATAAAACAAACATTATGGTAGAACAAAAAGAAAAAAAATAAAGAAATTGGAGCATTCTTAACGTATTTTTTTTACTTGAAGCACTTTTTTAAAAAAAATCTGGTTTAAGTTCATCTTTTATACACTTCTGGCAATAAGGCTCATTACATTCTACTAGTCTTGTAGCTGGTTGCGAATTTGTGTCTGACCATCGCAACCCCATGGACAATGTTCCTCCAGGCCTTGTTTGCCTTTGGTACTGTCTGAGTGGGTTTGCCATTTCCTTCTCCAGTGGACCACATTTTGACAGAGCTCTCTGCTATGACCTGTCCGTCTTGGGTGGCCCTGCATGGCATAGCTTATAACTTCAAGGCAATAATCCATGAAGGGGCTGTTAGTCTTATTTTTGAGCAATTTTTAGGATTGAATTATAAAGAAAAATTAAAAAACTGCATTCATAATTAACATTACATTTACATATCTTTCTTAAAATATAAATCCAACACCACTGGTCAAATTGATTTGGCTTAAAGTCTGCTGTTTTATTACAGCCACTAAAAGGAATCCATTTTACTTTATGCAATTTTTTCACCCATTCAATCATTTAAAGGGTGAGAAATTAAATAGGATTTTGAAGCAGTTATATATATTTCTCAGAATACAATTACTATTGTGTGCAAATCTTTTCTACATATCAGGATTTACCTTTGAAATATATACAACTATGACTATTGCAGATTCATTATTATTTTCATTCACAATTATTCATAAGTATTCTGTAATTACATTTTGTCAATAACAATGTAATTTTGCTTACTAATCTGCATACTAGACATACTGAATATTACTTTTTAAAATTCATTTAAACGAATCCTATTTAATACTATAAGTCATTGTGGAAGACCTATAACAATGTCAATATCAAATGGAACCTACCGTTTTACCCAGTAAATTTTAAAAAAAAACTTTGTATGTGCTGTATTCAAATAATAGAAAATTACCCCATACAGCCTTTATAGAATAAAACCCTACATAACATTTGTTAAAATCAAAATTATTGCTATAAAGCTACACATCTAGGTTTTGCAGGAAGCATGGTGGCCGAATAATTAATAGTCTTGAATTATGTTCCTAAATTATATAAATTGGGGTGCTTTTCAAGGTAAATAAATATCCCATCAAAGAAATGTGTGAAACATACGATTTTCGTGGAATTCAATGATCTCGCTAGATAAAAAATATTCTAACGCAAACATCTTGTTTTCATTGCCATGGGAAGCTGGAAGGGTTGCACTGCTTGGCGGGTTTTAACTCCCATGATAAGAATAAATAGCAAACTGTCGTGTTTGTTGGCCTACAACCTGGGTAACTATAGAGGAATTTGCGGTTCCTCTAAGCAGACTGGCTGACGAATGGAAGCCCAGTGACGCCCTACCAGTAAAGCTCCCAACGGCAGATCACTTGATCCAAACACGTGCCGTTCAACGGGTCTGTGGCTTGTCGCTGTAATAGAAAAAACTACCATGCTTAGATCACGTTCGACTGGCAAAAATAGTCGCCGTGGCGGCAACTTGCTTGCGTTGACCTTCTATACCACTCTGCACATGCCTAAAGGCACGCTCGCGGCGGGCTTATTAGGACTTCCCCCTCCCCCCCCCCCGTACCTTGATCTTAACTTCTGGGTCCACCTTGAGCAGAGAGGCCATAGTGGGGCGGGGAAGCCAATATTCTGAGCCAGATCTGTTTCCTTTTATCCCGCGCGCGCGACCACCTGAGAAAACCACCGGCTTCGTTACCGCCGGAAGTGATAACATAACGCCCCGCCACCGCCCTTTCTTAACCAATCACAGAACGCGATTTTAGCCAACGTGATTGTTCCTTGAGCCTTTGTGGGACAGGCCTTATCCGGTGCTGTGCACATGCGCTGAAGAAACAGCTTCCGGTTGATATGGGTGAAGCTCGGTAGTAATAAGTGAAGTGATTGACGTGGAGCCAATCAGCATAGAAGTAGGAAGTTGAGGATGGTTCGCGTTCGAAGTGACTTTTTCCCTGCAACTTACAGGTTATCTTCCGCTGTGTAAAAATCCTAGGTATTATTTCCTTCTGTAGCCGTTTGTTCTTTAGTATCTTTTGCCCCTAAGAGATGGCCTACCTTCCATGGTTCTCTTTTTGATTATTGTATTGCCTTTAAACTGAAGCATTTTTGCGTTTTGGATCTAGCTGCGTTACTATGGTCAGCAGATGGCAGCAAAGAGCCAACCAGATACCCGCAGCCCCAACATTGTGGTGAAGCCACTTCGTGGGCTTCCTCTCTGCTGCTGTAAATATGGGGGTGGTCGTGACAGTAACACGTATCAGTTGTGCGGTTTCCATTCGTGCAAGAAGGACATCACCGACTTTGCATCTCTGCAAATAGCTTTTCCAGTCCAGCACACAGGCTCCCTCTCTGATGCCACGGAGAGCGAGAAGGCGGCCCCGTCTCTGTGCCTCCTACGGGCGTGAGCAGAGTGCGATTTCTCCGGAAGAGAAAACTTTCTGCGAAGCCGTTTTGAGAGGCGGCGGGGTTGCTTGGGAGGGAAAGCACTTTCAGAGGAAGAGAAAGTCGACCGTGTTGTTGTTGTGAGGGAAAGGTGGTCTAGCGGTGATTTTTTTTAACCAATCGATTTCGTTCGCTCCTGGGGAAACTTTAAATACGTATCGATTGGGTATCCCTCCCATCGTCAGGGAACCTGGTTATGGCCACTTAACAAGCACATTATTAGTTCGTTGTTGGGCGTGAGGTAGGTAAGAACGACAGAGAGACTTGGATGGAATCAAGGTAGATTCCAACGAATTTACCCTTTTGTATTCCCAGCCATAATTTGTCTACCAGCTTCATTTTAAACTGGACCAGAAGAAGGAAACTAAAGCTGTGTTCTTTATAGGTAGTAAATATCAGTAAACTGCAGTAGAACAGATTATGCATTCAAAGTACCTCAAAGATAAGTATATGTATTGTTCCATAAGATGGGGTTGCACTACCAAAATCATGTTAAGGATTGAACCGTACTGGTACCTGACTAATTTTTGTGAGTAGATTCTTAGTTTGGACAGTTCCTGTTTTCCCCAAAGATACTTAGTATCAGAACCTAGCTGATTTTCTTGGGAGTTACACTTGAAAAGGTGATGATTAAATCATATGTCATTAATTGGATTGATTCAATATGTGTCATCAAATTGATGTTGTCCCACAGGCATAGAGTTAAGGTCTGTCTATGCATAGATAGGATATATAAATAAATGTTCTCCATGATAATGCCAGAGGAAGAGATGGATGATCACTGTAATAATAATGGCAGAAACATCCCATTCATGCTGCATGAGAGAAGGTACCTAGTATAGTAGTAACCATTCCTGAATTTTTACAATAGAACTACATAGATAGAAAACACAAACTGGATAGCAAATATAAAATATAAATGTATACCTACCTACAAAATGTTAGAAACATTGTATTGACTATCTTTTTACTTTCAGAGATATGGATGCATATAAGTCACCTGCTTGTACCATGCAGGTCAGCTTTGTTTGCCAGCGTTGTAGCCAGCCCCTTAAATTGGACACATCTTTCAACGTTCTTGACAAAGTCACCATCCAGGAATTGACAGGTAAAAAAAATGTGCCTAAGGCCAATGCAATCATGAATTCCACATTGTGAATGCATACACTTGTCAATGGCTGAGAAAATTCAATGAAAGTAGAATATAAGATTGTTGGAAACAGTAACACAGTGTTGTTATGAAGAATTCAGCAGAGCTTAATCTGAGGCAGTTCTCAAATCTGAACTCTGTTTCAGAAATCTCCTTGGAATTGGGAAGCAAAACCTCAAAGGAAAAATATTATTGACAGATATAGTAATATTTCTGCTGAGTTTAGCGTTATGTGCAAATATTTTTATTTTTTCTGTGGTAATTGTTTATCTTTTGTGTAGCTCCTCTGCTTACCACTGTTCCAACAAAACTGAGTGATGCACAGGAGGAAGAGACCCCTTTGACTGAGGTAAAGTTAGCATATGATTCTAAATTAAAAGCAATGCATCATTAGAAGTTAAACACCAGTCATTATTAGGAAGTATTATTTTTTTGGCATTTAGTCTGCAAATTTTCCTTATAATATGTGTACATTGTAAAGTGGCAGGTTATTAAAAGCTGCTTATGGACTCAAACATTTATTTCTCTTTGGAAAGGAATCACAAGATGCTAATGCTAAATTTCTTTTTAGGAAGTGTTTGTTGAAAACTGCCAGGATGCTCTGTCCTGAAGATTCATTCCCCCAGCCAGGTATTAATTATTATGTTCTCTGCTCTAATACATTTGTAGTAAATGCCATTCTTTCACAGACTGGACATTTTGATCAAATTCTGATACTGAAGTCTTTCTGAGGTTGTTGCATTTTAATTCGGGTGGAGGATGTGCACATGCACACACTCATACCCTCAGCTGCTAATAAAAGCAAAAAAATAGAGCTAGAGCTAGAGCAAAAGATAATAAAAGAAACAATTCTCCCTACCTATAGGAAGTGAAAACAAAATATATTTTAGTTCTTTCAGCCTTCCTTTGAAAGGAAACACAAATAGTCCTATGACCACTTATTAAGGTTCAATTCAAGGTTATGACAGCACCACTTACAAATGGTTCTTGCACTCATGATCAATGCAGCATCCCTATGGTCATGTGATCAAAATGTGATTGCCTGGCAACCATCATGTATTTATCATGGGTGCAGCATCTCAGGATCATGTGATTACCATTCGCGACTTTCCTTGAGGGCTTCCAGCTAGCAAAGTCAATGGAGAAAACTGGATTTGCTTAATGACTGAAAAAAAGGTTGAAAAATTGTAAAATCACTAAGTCACTTAATAACAATTGATGTAATGTAATCTGGTGCTGAGCTGTGGGAGGGAGGAGTAAAGTGAAATATCAGCCTTGAGTTGTCATTATGCAGAAAGTGATGCAGAAGAGACCCTCCCTAATTTCTTCACAGTTTTTATCAGATAGGTATGAAGAGTTTACTCTGGCAAGATTATGCCCTTTTGTGAACAGCAATTTAAAAAAATGATTTGAACATCTACACATTTAGTACTTGATTTCCCATGCCTGACTATTGCTTAGCGATAGAGAGTTCTGGTCCCAATTGTTGTCATGTCAAGGACTACATATAGTTCATTTTGAACTGGATTCTCTATTATAGAACAACAATTTTCAGAAGGAGTCTAGGAATTAGGGGAATTGGTCCAATATTATTAGTTTGTTTAGTTGCAAAAATTTAAAAAGCTAGTTATGTTTGCCCTCCACAGTAATGAGACCGAAGTATCCCCCTATTATTTCTGCCATAGAACATTCATCCCTGCCATTTTTTTTCCAGATCAGAGCAACCATTCTACAAAAGATTTTTTATGTGGCCATGGTTCTTGATAACTTGTATAAACTAGCTAATATATATTCTAATGAAGAGGAATAGTTTTCTAAGAGGCATTTAAATTGAATCCAAGTGATTCTTGGATGCAATGAATCCAAACAAAACTTTGTTATTTTTTAACTCTATTGTTTATCTCTAACAATTCAGACATCTTTTTCTTTGTAGCTTAAGCCTGCAAATTATAGATTCTGTTTTCAAATATAGTATATAGCAGTGATGGTGAATCTTTTTTGGCTCCTGTGCCAAAAGTGGGGGGGGAGTGCAGGGGGATCATGCATTGATGTGCCACTCGTAATGCTATGGATGCGACTCTCCCCCCCTGCTTTTGGCGTGGTTTTTTCACCCTCCCCAGGCTCCAGAGACTTTCTAGGAGCCTGGGGAGGGTGAAAACAGCATTCCCTCCCTCCTCCCATGCCCTCAGGGGGCCTCAGGAGCTTCCCTGAAGGCTCTGGAGGGCGAAAAATGGACCTATGAAGGACCCAGAAGTTCGGGAATGGTGATTTCTGGTTTGCTTGTAGGACCAGTTTTTGCCCTCTGGAGCCTCCAGGGAAGCCTCCTGAAGGCCTCTGGAGGGCGAAAAACAGACCTATATGGAACCCGGAAATTTGGGAATTATGATTTTGTTTGTCCATAGGACCATTTTTCGCCCTCTGGAGCCTTCAGGAGGCTTCCCTGAAGGCTCTGGAGGGCAGAAACCAGCCCTATGAGCAAACTGGAAGTCCAGTTTGTTCTTAGGGCCAGTTTTTGCACTCCGGAATCTTCCGGGAAGCCTCCTGAAGGCCCCTGATGTCTCTAGAGCAGTGTTTTTCAACCACTGTGCCGCGGCACACTAGTGTGCCGTGACATAGTGTAAGGTGTGCCGTGGGAAAAACACCCTGCCTATAGTCAATATAGGCACAGAGTTAAAAATTTTTAACATTTTCTAATGGTGGTGTGCCTCGTGATTTTTTTCATGAAAAAAGTGTGCCTTTGCACAAAAAAGGTTGAAAAACACTGCTCTAGAGGGTGAAAAACGGCCCTATAGTTTGGCCATAGGGCTGTTTTTCGCTCTCTGGAGCCTCCTGAAGGCGAAAAACGGCTTCAAAAGAAGGCCGAAGTCATCTGGAAGCCCGAGCATGTGCACTGGCCAGCTGATAGGGCAATACTTCGTGTGCCTTAGCAAATGGCTCTGTGTGCCACCTATAGCACCCGTGCCATAGGTTCGTCATCATGGGTATAAAGAGCAAAACCTATTTACTATTTAGGAACTGGAAATTGTTTGTGGAACAAAATGTAAACTACTATGGTTTAACATCAGAATTTTTGATGTTAAAAAAAAAATAACCTCAGCCCTCTCTGGGCATGCACGCCGTCATCAGCTGCTCTTCCAGGCTCC